GGTGGTGGTGGTGGTGGTCGTCGTCTCGTCGTCGTCATTACCGCCGCCGCCGCCGTCCTCGTCTCCGCTGTTGATGCTGTGGCTGTTCTTGTTTCTATGGTTGTGGTTGTCGTGTTGTTAAGCCTCTTGCATCCTCTTGCCCATTAACCCCGAAAGGCATTGTAAGCACGCGAGGAAGAAACAGAATTCTGATGTTGTGTCTTTCTCACGAATGTGTTGTCGTAATTCAGAACCCCTTCCGCCAAAATACTCGAATCTTTTCCAGCACATACAGTTTTCTACTCGGGCGAAGGATTACTTGCTTCAGAGCATCAATCATTACCGAATGAATGAAGAGCTGAAGGATATGCCTTGTAGTGTTTTGCACATTATTGTTCCCGTCACTTTTGGATCATCTGTTGTTGCTGAGCGGAAGTATATTTTCTACTGCATGCAGCAATCCTGGTGGCAGTGATAGCAGACCTTGTTGCTGTCAGGGGCGCGGCTGTCGCTGGCTTTTGATGTTGTCTTTGAGGAAGCTTTGGTTGCTGGCGTCAGCTTAGGATAACCGCAGCAAGGTTGTGGTAGCGCTGGCCATGACTGCTGCTGCTGCTGCTGCTGCTGCTGTACCTGTGGTCGTGACAGCAGTCAAGGTGTAGGCCCGACCGTTTCCCAACTGTCGCGCAATGCATAATCACACGTGAGCCGAGCATGAGGAGGCGTACTGTTGGTTTGCACTTCGGCCCCAATAGGTCTTTAAGACTTTCATTTCGATTCTTGTCCAACGCCTGCTGAGATTCAGGCCGTGGCCGACTGACCTACCTGTCAGAAGTGCCACGGTTCCGGCGAGCTCGCCTGAGCAGCTCTCAGTACTCAAAGAACAGGATGGTCATAAGATTATTCCATCACTCCTGGTCTTTGGCCCGTGCCGGGACTCTTTATGCCAATTCTTGAGCTCCTGATGGACTGGAGATCAGCTAAAGCTCGTGGTCCAAGCACACGACATGTCCCCTGTCCTGCGAGTCCAGAGTCGACAGCGATGCCACTGTGCCTCAATTAAGCGCTTCTGGGCAGAAACGCAGGTCCCAACCACAGCTTCACATCTGTGAAACGGCATGTGGTGTCTTTCTCCCAGCCCCTTTCCCGCTCCAAAAACTTCCTGTCTCATGCCGTTCGGCTCGGCTGCGCGCATGCAATCATGCAACATCATGCAACTACAGATTTGGCTTGGCTACGGCTGCGGATGATTCGCGGTGCCGGAGTTGATGATATCCGGCGGCCAGAAGAGCCAACGTGAGAATCCCGGCGAACCTCCAAATCAAATAATCAACAAGTCCAAACCAAGCGGTCCTTGTTTCGTATGTAACGTCTTCACATAGCAGCTATAGCAACTACACCTTCTGGTCCGTGGGTCTTTCCCCAGGGTGGCGTGCAGCTGGCAAGGACTCCTCATCCGGGAAGGTCAGGCTTTCATGTCTTCGCCGCTTTGGGCCCTCCCTCTACTTCAGCTTTGAATTTCTGATGCGCTGCAGCCAAACCTAAGGAGATGTGGGCAACATTGTTCCATTCAAGGTTACAATCTTCATTGGAAAGCCTCACGACACGCTGCCTAAGCCTGTATTCTAGCAGATTTTAGCAGCTCATTCTTTGCCAATGCCATGGATGCCACTCCCAGCAGTCAGTCCTGCGAGTCCAATGATGCCACTGTGCCTTGATTGCTCTGCGGACCATACGCGCCATGCAGCCGCTTCAAGTGAAGATCTGAAGAAGTCATCTGCTGTTTTTGGCTGTCTCCAAGGCACGGCTGCGAGGAAGCCGAGCTCCTGGAGTCAACGAGTTGCGCCGGGCCTTCCGACAATGCCATTTCATCACAGCTCATACCCGGAGCTGGTTCAGAGCTTAACAAAGTGCTGGAGGCTCCCAAATGATGCGACTCATGTGCCTGCATGCCAGACTGCATGAGTCCCTCAACTTCGGCTCGGTCCTCAGCTTTCAGCGTTTACAAGACCGAGTAACGTCACAGGAAGCCTGACTGCAACCCAGCTGCCAGCCCTAATCTCTTGGTGTAATCTGTCGTGTCCCGGAGGTATTCTTTAGCTGCTGGCCGCATGATCTCGTTTGCCTAGGTGCAGGCAGTAAACCAGGATGGGCAGAGCCAGGTGATGCTGACTTCAACTTCAAGAATTCTTAGTAATTCATCTGATCGAGCAGAGACACCCGGTCGATCAGATGACGCATCCAGGACGGCAGCATGCTCTTTTTTGGCTTCTCCTGAAAAAATGCAGGGTCTGACCATCGAACAGACAACGTGAACAAGGAAACTCGAGCTCAAGTCTCCTGAGCCAAGGGTGAATCGACAGTGGGATCGTCGTTGTTGACGACGAGGTCCTGCTGGCCAGTCGCGTCAAAGAAAGCTTTGCACCTCAACTTTTTCGGGCCTTCGAAGGCTCCACTTGTCGAGAATTGCCGGACTTTGGGCGGCTTGGTATGGCAAGTCTGGGCACAGGGGGTGGTGCTGGCGCCAGACCATCTGCCCAGGATTTGGACTTCCTCAACTGGGGTCGTCTTCTATCCGGCTCTGCCGTTGGGACGGCCTAGCAAGGTTTGTGCGCAGCATCTTCCAATACCCATTCGACATTGGACAATTGCGCCTTCACTGATGCAGTGCTGAAACGTCTCACCATTGCCGCTGGTAACATGTCCTGCAGAGACTGGCCGCGATGCATGAATGCTCCTGCTTCTTCGAGCTATATACGCTACTGGAAGAACTATTATTCTTGCCATGCAGTGTTTATCAGCATCGTAGCGCATGTGGCACGCGCCGCTCTGCTTTTTTTCCAGAAGTTGACAAACAAATATGTGTACATTGGCATGCGAGAGGCTGCAATGGTAGCTGGCCTTTGCATCAAAGTCCATGGTTCCTGGCAGTGCAAGGAGTACATCAGCTGCACGACGTGGCAGCCAGTCTCCCAAACCCGCCTGGAGGCATTTTGTCGAGACACTCCCTTGGGGAGTTGAAAAAAAATGCCTGGCAGTAAGACTTGCCGGTTGTAGGTACGGGATAGTAAAGCAGTGGGATTCTGCCTGTGTCCAACGAATTCACAGCACCATAGCTTGCAGACCTGTGACTTTGCAGCAAAGCTACGCCAACAGCGTTCTGGCTCGTGAATGGTGCTTGGCTGAAATTACTCAATGCATTTTTCTGGATTCGCTAGCTTTGTCTTTGGCGCTCTCGTCGATCAGCGTTACAAGGATAAACGATTTGCACAACCCGCGCAATCATGATAACTTGATCGCGCCAAAGAAACGGTCGAAATTTGAGCAACTACGCTAAGGGGCTCACGCATGTTGACAACCTCGCCAAGAGCATGAAGAGACACCCAGGAGATCATCGCAGTTAAGCCTTTTGCTGTAAGTTGCTGCACCTTGGTCATCGGAGTTTGTGCAGCGTGCCATTCAGGAAGCATGCGCTAACGTGCGCAAAACGCAGTCTCCCAGTTAAAGAAGTATCCCGCTGCACAGCGGTGTTCCACAGCAGTGTCCGTCTGCCTTAAGAGAAGGGCTGTGGGCTTGGTGTGCCAATCCTGTGCTGTCAACACCTCAATCAGCTTGCTCTCGCCTACTCCTGTACATTGCCAGTAAACTGACAGGCCAGGTTCAGGAACCACAAGTTGAGGGGGTGCAGAAGGTCCGAGGGTCCAATATTGAAAGTTGAAGAACCTGACGCCCAGACAGTTGGCTTCTCGTAAATGCAAACAGGACGCTTGCGCACGGTCTTGAAAGATGGTGCTTCAAGCAAGGGGTGCTACGTCTAGTCTTCTCAAAAGGCCTTCATGACCGCCTGTGCAGCGTCCCAGGCTTTACAATCCAAACTCCACAAAGGAACCGAGTCTCTGCCTCCAGAGACTTTCTGGAAAGCATCGAATTTTCCGACTGACCGGACTACCAACTGCTCAGGCGCTACAGCTGCTGAGCCGCGGAAAATTATTTTCATCCAACAGACCTGGACTCCTTGGAACAAAGATAAACACATAAAGCTGCAAAGGGTCCTACAGTACCTCATAGTACCTCCTTCTGATACCTGCTCCTCACACATCCAGGTTGGAAAAGTTGGTGAGGGTTCCCCTTCGGGAGTCCTCGACAGATCGATGCAGATTTGGCGTACTGAGAAATCGCACGCATCTTCATCTCTAAACCATCGCTGTAACCGACAAGAGAAACCCAAGCAGCATCGATCTCTAAAGGAGCACGGGGAAACTACTTTGACTTGCTGGCATCAGCACATTGGCAGATCTTGCAATTTTGCACCAATGATGCACATGGTTTAAAACTTCAGAACCAAGACAGCTGCAGAAATCAGCCAGTCAACATCGTCTCCCACTGCAAAATGTTGTCGTTGTTACGTGTCGGCCAGAGAGCTACATGAAACTTCCCTGCCGGCGCCCGTCTCACTTCTTCTAATCACACTGCCAATCTCTGGCCTTGCAAAACTGCTGGGGCTTGCTGTCTGCCTATCTGCTCTGAGACAAATAACCCCAAGGAATGACCTGGAGCGGATTCTCAAATCATTGACCTTTGTAGCAGCAAGGTCGTGCCACCAGAACAATTCAAGACTCCTGGTAGAATATCTTCTCGGGCAAGGACAATCTCACCGTTGGGCACATACTGGCTGCGTGTGATCCGTGTGAACTTGCCTGCACGATGACAGAACAGGAACGGACTGAACACAGGTTGCGCTCAAGTCATGCACTAACAAGCAGTGTGTGCAGCTCATGTTTTCCCTACATAGATAAAGACGACAGTCTGCCATGATGTTGTCTGGGCCATCCAGCAATGATACTGGGTACTGCAGTTTGGGCAAGCTTCATGGATTTGGAATTCGTGAGTCATATTTGGCGTCCTGCATCTCTTCAGACCGGGTAGACCCTTGACGGGGAACACCTTCCCTTTGACAAATTTCGATGTTGCTGATACTATTGTCCCTTCTCGAACGCCTGCACCTAACCCAAGCCTTGGACATCAAGCCGCCAAGGAATGCACGGGGCGACCGCCATCCAGCCCACCTGTAGCTATTGGCAGCTATCACAATGATAGACCATGAAGCACGACCTTTCCCAAGCAAGCTGCCAGCCTCAGGGAATTGGCGTAGAGTTGCTCATCCTCGCGCCAAAGATGATTGAAGCTGCGAAGCGTTGGCGCGGAGTCAGGCATGAACAAGTACTGGTTTGCTTCGCCTGCAGCATGGGACTCCGACACTCCTCGCTCCGTTGAGATGATGCCTCAGCTTTTATCGCGAGTTCCAGAAGCTACGCCTAAAATATATGTTGACTAAGCCCAGTTCCAGAAACTCATAGCACATTCTGGCCACGACAAAGTGAGTCCTGCACCAAGTTGGATACTGCTGGATAGCCTTCGAGATGTTGAGTCCAGGTGCGATATGGACGTGTTTCTTGCAACAATGAATTCTGAGAAGAGTTTCATTCTCACCGTAGGCAGCGCACCCGCCATCTTGCTCCAGCAGCGGATGGTGCTGTCTGGCTTTTGCCAAGAAGGCATCCTCCAAAAGCCCCACTGTTACACACAGGCAAGTCAGAATATAGCGAGATTTTGCGATATTGACACATGCTGGCATGTCCGGGCCTTGAGCTCCGTGGGAGACGCGCCGCACGATGCGCCGAGCATCTGATGGCAATCAATGTCTGGAACCTGAAGTTTGGACATTGGTTCTTCATTACCGCCACGCGCAGCGCGACAATCACAGCCTGCCGGCCGGTCATTAGCCTTAGCCATGCTAAGAAACTGCGGGCAACCCTCCTGAACTGTTTGAAGACATCTCAAGAATCTGCAAAACACGGGTCAGGCTATGCTCCCACGGTGAGAATTCCTTGTTCATGTTGCCTTCTGCTTGAGGACAACACGCGTCTTGCCCAAGCGGGGCCCACCATGGCCTGGGAGGTAGGAAGCAAGGCACTAAAGTCTAAAGGGCCTCATGTGCTTCACGTGCTTCACGTGCCTCTGTGTCTCAGCGACGAGCTTCGAAGCCTTTATTCTTCGGGCCTCGGCTCGGCTGCTCGGCTGCTCGCTTCATGAAGTAACGAAGTAACTGGAGCGCAGTTCTCGCCTGAAGGGCCATCAGTCTGCGCTGCGACTTCATTGCCTGAAGTGCGGTTGGCGCCTTGGACGAAAGAAACTGCCAGCCCAACACAAAAGGTAAATCATCCAGGCTTGAGGTGGTCGCCATGGGAAGCCGTTCGTCAACTTCGGTTGATCGGAAGGGGGGAGATCTGACGGCTGTGATCTCGAAGATGCTGCGCCACACATACCACACAGGCTGGGGAGGCACCAGCACCACATGGCTTTTGCAGCAGAAGACGTCTCGAAGCTGAGCAAACCCTTTGGAACGAGGCAGCGCTTTTCCGTCATCTGTAAATAGCAATCAGCAAAGCAAAGCAAGCAGCCGGCGCTGCTCAGCAAAGCTAAGAAACGTAAATAAATTAAACATCAAAGCCCGCGAGCCCCGGCATTTTCATCAGAAGAGGAGTCTGTCAAGTGTTCACCTCCAGCTCCTCCCGAGTTAGTTGGGAATTGGGAAGCCACTTTATTTCTGTAGACTGTAGACCTTTGTTCTGCGAAGCTCAAGCGAAGCGGCTCCTGCTTGAGCAACGGGAGCTGTAAATCGCGGCTTCTCTGTGAGAGGCAGACGCACACCAGCTCCAATGCTGCCTGACTAAGCTCCAAAAAACCCCAAAATGTCCATCGCTGCAAGCCATTCTGAGCCCCTACATCGTGCCCTCAGGCTTGAGGTCCATGCCCAATGACAAGCCGAGCCCAAAAGGAATACCATCGCCTGGACAATGCTAGATTGCTGAGATGCTACAGGATCTATAGGGCCGAATACCAACATGCAGCCTGTCGCCAAAGGTCGGCGAGCGCCCGTCTGCAGCTGGCCTCTGACACCATTTCTTTTGCTTTGAGGCGCCGTGTATCAAGAAAGTGTTTGAGGCCACTTCGTCCTCCAAAACGCGTACGCGGCTGATCTGCGCTTGTCCTTGCTCCGAAAAAGCAACCCGACACAAGCCGCGTTCCATTGCTGAGTCCAAGGCCGATCTTCAGATGCAGCATCAACTGGAGCTATGTGCGCTACGTGACATTCATGGACATAAAGATACCATGTCATTATTACTCCATGGCCCCATGCCTGGACGTTCCCATTGCGCCTTCCACTCCACCCAGGCAGGTGGTATGCGAGACATGCGCCGGAGTAGCACAGACCTTCTGAAAATGCAAGTGGATGTTTGAGGGACAAGACTGGTGGCGTCTGAACCATTGCTTGCTCAGTTTCACGTTCGTGCAAGTGAAAAATGAGGCTTCAGCCAATTGATGCGTGTGATGCTGAGAGCTGGAGGCCCTGGAGAGAGAAGAACTCACAGGCTATCACTGTGCAACAGCTCTGTCATGCCGAACAAGTGGCCTCTGCCGGGCAGCGCAATCGTGGCTGAGAGTGCCTGGACCGGATGCCATGCGCGACTTGATGCAACAACCACGGACGACCTGCGTAGAGCTTCCAGGCCTGAAGGGCATCATTAGGACTGATCTTGGGTGCCCAAAAACCTGGTCCGCCAACTCCACTTCGAGCGGCCATGCCTTAATGCCAAAAGGACTATGTTTGAGCTTTCTGACACAAGGCATGTCTGCTCGACAATATCACTACTTTCCGTCAAGCCGCAGATGTCAAAATCAAGTGGGCAATTCACAATGTAGCAGATCCAAGCTCACATTGGCCCGATGGAACCCATGGGAGAGTTGATTCATTAACGCTGCGACCACTTCAATAGCTACTTGGGCGAAGTAGGCTCCAGTTCGTGCTGGCTGCTGTCGAAACATGAGAACCTTATTGAAGCAAGAGAAGGATGTGGTGTCCCGACTTTCTCTCATGATGTTCTACTTCAACTGCTTGATATGCTCCTGCTCGGTCTCTTCGCACTTGTATCCAGAGTCCTCATCCTGCCGAATCGTGCTTTACTCCCGTCTCGGAAAGGGCTGCTGCTATAAGAATTTCATCCATCCAGGGATTGGAAATCAATGACAAATTCATTTCGCATTGCGTTTGCTTTTGGTTGCATTTTTCTTGCATTTGGGTGTTGCATCTATTTGCATTCTTGTTGCATTCTGATTTCGCTTGCATGTTTCTCGCAATTGAGTTTTGCATTTGTTTGGCATTCTGTTTTTGCTTGCGTTGCTTTTGCATTGCCAGTTTGCATTTTTTTTGCATTCTGATTTCGCTTGCATGTTTCTCGCAATTGGGTCGGGTATTTTTTTGCGTTCTGTTTTTGCTCGCATGTTTCTTGTGTTTGGGCGGTTCATTGCTTTTGCATTCTGATTCCGCTTGCATGTTTCACGCAATTGGGTTTTGCTTTGCATTCATTTTGCGGGTTTTAGCAGTCGTAGACTGCACGACATGCTATGTTCTTCGCGTTTTCTTGCATTCTTTGCTACAAACACCTCAATCAGCATGCAAAACGAATGCATCGCAAAACCCAATTGCGAGCGAAAACAAACAAATGCAAACTGGCAATGCAAAAATCAACGCAAGAAATAATGCAAAACAAATGAACACAGGCAACGCAAATGATGACAGAGACCATACAAAATGAATACTCTATGATGTCATACTCTGTGGCGCTCAGATCTCAAATCTTATACGGCCGCTGCAAAGGCCTCTACCCGAGAGCCAGCAACACAGTCAACGATTCGTTCAGTGAAGGCAGCACTGCAACTGCAGCACAGCCCATAATAAACGTTGACAGCAGGTCTGCCCTTCAAGCACGGTAGATAGCGAGATAGCAAGGAATGCTTTCACGGGATGCAGCTGAGGTCAGATGGCTCCTGTTCAGTCGTGTTCGTACGAGTCACATCTACGCAAGGCGCTCCTGCGAGGATTCCAGGTAGACCGTAGCCCAGGGTGAACGATTTGGTTTTCCACAAAGTTTAGGATGTCGCCGACAAAACCAGCCAAGCGCTCTTAAACATGTGGAAGATGTGCTCCCACCCGATTACGCAGAAAACCCCTAAGCCCTAAGCGCACTTCAGCGTGGGCAATCTTGGATGACATAGCGGTGCAGTAGGCCTGCAGGATCCGCGAGTGGAATTGCTTGCCCGGGTCTGGCCGTAGTGTAGGGTGTGGCTTCGCTTTTTGGTTTTGAGGTCTGCTCTCGGAGTCCTGGATACCTTGCGAGCACAGCTCTTGGCGAATGGCAGATTCTCACATGAGGCTCTAGGACTAGCCAACTTGGCCGTTGACACGTCCAGGGATGCACAGCCCCCGAGGAATGTGTCCACACGAGGCCAGACTTTGATGGCACTGCGGCGGATGACGTCGCTAAGGCGCCCAAGGTCTGTTTCTGACGAAGGCACCCGGCTGTCTGCATGCCAGTGTATAAGCTCCACAGACACGTCCTCCACGTGAGGCAGGAAAGGTGAGCTGCGCACCTAGCGGCATAGCGGTTGACTCATCACCAAAAAATGCAGCTTGGCTTATGGTGGCGGTGGTTGTGATGATGGTGGCGGCGGAGCAGATGTTGCGTGCTGCTGCTGTTGCTGTCTTTTAGCATTTCATACTGCGTAGAGACGTCTTTTAACGTAGTGGCGTGCGATCCCAATGTTCAAGCCATGCTGCCAACATCAGCCCACGGCCCCCACTGCACACTCAGTGCAGGCAAACCTTGGCAGAGCGGCAATGCACATCTTGATGTGCAGAGACAGTGGCGGCTAACACAGGCCTTCAGAGCTATCACATGCATGCTATCACATGCATGCTATCACATCAGATTCTGGTAAGAAACATGCAGAAGTTTTGCACATTCACTGCTGGACTCTCTCACTACAGCGAGCCTCTTGCATGCCGATGCAGTGCGAAAGAATCCAGGAAAGAATTGGCAGCGGCGTAGTTTCCCTGCCTGATTTTCAGAGTGCAGAGCCAACGAGAGCTTGCTTGGCTTCATTGCAACAAGCCAAGCGAGGCGAGCTGACCCTGGCGAGCCCAGCAATGCAGCTACCGATGAAAAGAGCAGGAACAGCTCGATGTCTTGCCCAGATAACGTTTCCTGCAGGAAAGCTTCGCACACGCCGAGGCTGCAGTACTCCCTGGCTGCCGCAGCTGAGGCGTGGACATGGAAATTGATGGCTCCGTCCTCTCATTGTATGGGGGGTGTCACAACCTCACACTCCATGCTGTCAGCGCTCCATTTTTGGAGAGATGACGGGTGCCAAGTGCTCTAACTCCAGGTTGGGGATGGTGTGATCCTGCTCACAGTCATAGATTGCTGGATCGGGCAGACTGACAGCAATGGTCCTCAAGCACACCTGCGGCATGCACCACACCTTTCGCAATTCAGAGGGCGTCATTGCCAGATTACGAATGACTCACAGGCCTTTGACCGGAACTGCATGGCATGCTTCCAGGGCTGCCAGCATGGCTTCCACCTCCACCAGCCAGGATTCTGTAAACAATGCAATACAAGTTCTTGCTTGAGCGCCAACCTCCTTCTTGATGGCCACGTTGCAAGGTTGAAGAGAGACTTGAAGGTCACTATTGTCACACCTTGCACATGAAAACTACCCCAATGGGTTTCTGCTTCAGAAGATCCGTCGTGATTGGGGCAAGCCTTCGTGCCAGCCGCTGTTCAGCTTTGTTCAACAGAATCTGACCCTAGGCAAAGACATCAAGCCGAGGCACAGATGTTGCAGAGTTTTCCTTTGTGCATCGTCCTGTGCTCGCAGGAGATGTGGCCACGCGTAGGTCATGAGAGGAGCAGTAAAGCTCCTTGCACTGACCGCTGCGTGACAGCAGCGCCAAGTGCGAGACGCCCTGGCAGGGCGTGAGGGCAAGTGCTGACAGGTTGTCAAATAGCGCCAAAGTGGTTGCTGCCTACGTGCATGCTTCGAATACCTCACTGCAGATTTTTTGCACCGAACGCCGGGCGCTTGCTCGCGCGGAATGCACAATTTCCCCTACACACTCATAAAGTCTCAATTAAAATTACCCATCTCTGACTTTGGGACAAAGGGTGGAGCCGTGTGAGATTTCAAGCTTTACGGCAGTTTGGCAGGGAACAGGACGGGACCGGAGTTGGACAACTGTCAACATAGCTCGCACAATGACTGTTTTGACTCTGCAAGGAGCCCCTTTCTTTTGCGCTTTGCCGAGCACTTGAGCAACGCGGCTTTCTGAAGGTTACAAGCAGAGTCTCTTGCTGCTTGGACCCGGTCTCTCTTCACAACTTCGTGGAGTGCTGTATGGCCATCTCTCTCTAGCTGGTCCAGGAGACTAATGGCATAGCGTGCTTGCGCCCTTGTTGCATGATATCGGGACGACCCTGCTTCGCAGGCAGCAAGTCCAAGACCCAGCGTGTCCACGTCCACATTCACTCTCTTGTCGTTAATGAACGACAACAAGTTAAAGACCACTTCCCACTGTGCACTAAACGCACCAACAGCAGAGCTGTAGAGGATGGAGTCATGGAGCTGTTGCTCTCGAGCTTGGGCCCAAACAGAGAAGGCAGTCTGCCACGAGTCTCCACTGCAAGCAGTGATGCAGGAACTACAAGTGACTACATCGCTTCTGAGCCGTCCCTGGCCAACGTTGCCAAGGAAGGCCAGTGCCAGCGTCCAGCGCTGCGCCTTCTGGCATGCGCTGATAAAGGCATTACATGAGATCAAATCTGGCCCTCCAAAAGACCTTGGTGCTTTCTTGGTCAACGCCAAGGCCTGCAGTGCATGCTGCCACTGGCCAGCTTTCTCGCATGCACTAACCAGCGCGTTGTGCGTGATCAGAGTGCTGGACAAGCTGCTGTGTCGAAGTTCCGCCAACAAGTGGATTGCAAGTTGCCACAATCCCTGCTTTTCGACTGCACTGATCACCGAGTTGTATGTTACGATATCTAGTCTGAGCTGTTCGTCAACAAGCTGCTGGAGAAGCGAAAGCGATTGGGGCCAGCATGCGGCCTGGCCGCAGGCGCTGATTGCTGCGCTGAAGGTGATGACGTCTGCTTCTGGGACCAGCTGCAGCAGCCACAATGCGAATGGCCACTGCTTGGCCTTCTCACATGCACTGATCGCCGCATTGTAAGTGATCACGTCAGCTTGAATACCAGCTGCCGGCAGCTCCTGATTTGAAAAGCAAAGACTCACAAGGACATGCGTTTTGGGCAGCCTTTGAGCTGGGCAGGCGAACAGATGGCCAAAGTATCACCAGTAAGTCTTACAAGAAAACCCTATGCTGCCAGCCCCAGCAATCAGAGAAAGGTCCTCTTGAAGCAATGCCATGGCGTGCAACCACTGACCTGCCTTCTCACAAGCACTCATCGCTGCGTTGAACATGATCAAACTCAGCTCCATTTTCATCAGCTTGAACTCAGCGAGGAGGTGCAGAGACCACTCCCACTGCCGGCCCTTCTCGCAGGCACTGATGACGGATCCAGCAAGGACGGCATCATGTTGTAAGGTCAGGCAGCATACCTCGGACAGCAGCTGCAAGGCCGCCTTCCAAGCTTCAAGCCTTTCGCCAGACAAGCCACCCTTTTCGCAAGCACTGACTATCGCACTATACATGATGACATCTGCGGAAAGCAGCCTCTCCCGTGCATCGCCCAAGAAGAGCACAGCTCTTCGCCACTTCCTGCTGAGCCCTGAAATGCCCGAACTATAAGAGATCAGAGAAGACCTCAGTAGCACCTGGTTCAGATGCCTCAACAGGCTCTGGCAAAGCTTCCATTGTCGCACCTTGCTGGCTACGTTGATTGCAGCATTGAATGTTACACTGCTACCTTGCAGCTGCAGACCTGGGAAGCAAGACAGCAGGTCCATTGCCCGGGTCCATTGCTTTGATATACTGAATCGATGGATGGCCAAATTGCATGAGGCGAGCCTTTCCTTTTCCATGCTGACATGTTGGCAAACATGCCTGCCAGTTGTCCAGTTGCCAGGAACTCCATGGCAAAACTGAATACTTTAAACCAGGACGGCCAAAGGCCAACCTCCCAGCAGCTTTGTGATCGAGCGAGCCAAGTAGCTACGATGTTCATGCGTGCGCATGCATGCGCAAGAGCGACTTAGAGTGTGCTTCGAGAGATCTTTCGGCCAAGTGTGAGCGCCGAGCGCCTGTGTAGCCAACCAAGCTGCCGAGCTGAGACCGAGGCCACTGCATCCACCACCTCGCGGAAAATGAAATCACAGAAAACAAGCTTCTCGCAGATCTTTCTAAAGGCGCTTGCTGATGACGAACCAGCTGCTGTCAGGAAAGCTAGGAGGAGGCCAAACACCGCGAGCCTCAACTCAGAAGCCAACTCAGTATCAGCCAAGGCAGGGCAGTCCGTGCCTCACATCTTAATGAGCCAAGATGCACAGGCTGCGGTCTGCTCCAGGCGCGCCATGTGGCGTTCAAAATCGATGTCATCATCGCTGCCAGATTCCTGTCGGTCTGCAGGCATCCTTCTGATCAGCAAGGTACCAATAAGCTTGGACTAGTCAAGGATGTGCTCGGCCCAGCTCTGCACAAGCTGCTCCAGCCACAGCACACTTTTTGGCATGTGCAACGGGGTTGGAGCGGTGCAACAGCAAGGCAAGAGCAGCTGCATCCTACAACGTGAAAGAATCAAGGTTTGGCAAAACACAGCGTTGCATAGGTTTCTTCAGGAAGATAATAGAGGCGCGTCCGAGACACCTGTAAGATGGCTGACCTTCGCCACGCTGCAATCAAGAACACAACATTGGAAACTGCCACATGCTGCTTGCAGCATCTGCGAGCGTTCACACTACAAACTCACCCCGCCTCCGCATCCAAGGTCAGCTTTCGAACCAGAAGCTCTGTCTCCTGAGCGACGTCTTCATCATCCTCGCAACTCAGAAAGCTACGGGAAATGTCAAGTTATCCTTGCTTCGAATACGACTTCACAGAAGATGCGCGCAAGCTGAGAATGGAAGTGTCTTGTTTAGAAGGCTTTCAGATGTGAAGGCGTCATGACTCCACAATCAAAGCAGCATGTGCATCTTACTCTAAGCGGTAACGGCCATCAGATCCGAATGAGCTCATGGGCTACGCCCATCTACCTTAAACCGCTTTTGAAGGCTACATTGCTCTGCTAGCATGTCTAGACCCCAACAAAATCATTCAAATCAGTCTTGGATCACGCTCGAAATCCATGCTGTGCCGTACATAATTGCTAGCAGCGAACTGGAAAAGCTCGTACTCAGCTTCCAGAAGTACGGGTGCAACTCCGTCCTGCTCGCGTCGTGCTGCTCGAAGCCTGCTCACAATGGCTCGCGGAGACATGGAATCGACCTCGCAGCTCGGGCGACGTCAAGCAGGCATGCGATCTGGTAACGGATGAAATTATGCATAGGCAAGCAAATGGTCGACAGCACGCAAAATTGCTTTGAGGCTGTAGAACATGTAACAGCATCTAGAGGTATTTCCACACTCTTCTCACAAATGCGGGTTCCACTTTTGTTTGCAAGGGCTCCCACATCAATACAGCCGATCCAACTGCGTTGCTCACGCCTCAAATCGTGCTAGCAACAAGTATTGGCCATTCCGAGCTCACTGACCATCCGACCTGGCACAGCGAGCTAGTCCCCAGAGACCCGCATGAAACGGCACATCGCTCCTGGCCAAGTCTTCCTCAGAGATCAAGGCATTGAACAGAGAGCAGGGAGTGGGAAGCCAAGAACGGCAAACTAAGGCAGCATCAGCCTGTACAGCCTGAGTTCCAGCCATCACAAACCTTGGCATGCATGGTCAATGCGCTTTCATTGCGAGCTGCTTGTATCAAGGCACGGGTCTTTCCTGCCTCCAAGTAACCAGATCTCAGGCGCCTTCACAGCCTGAGGAGCTTGTGCCTGGTTGCGCAGAGCGGCAAATATATCATGCATCTCGGCTTGGGAGACGCAGGCTCCTCCTGACCTTCTTGCTGTTTCCACTGGCCAAACCCAGGCATCAAACACTCTGCTCAAGCTTAGAAGCTCCTCATTGTTGACGCGCGCATCTGCTTTTGACGCTGGTCTTTCGTGTGGTTCGCTCCCAAGTCGACCCTGACCTGCTCCCATGAGTCTTTTGACCATAGGTTTTCTTGCCTCCTGAGCACATCTTCCAGAATCTAGAAGGTATTCTACTCCGATCCGTACATGCCTGAGCTCTAGATTGCTTGCAGCTCTACATCGAACAAAAAAACATACTTCGTCGACTGTATGGCTTTATTCGTCGTCATGGACAGAAGTCATGGCATTGGCAAGGCGAGACAGCTGATGGGGTGTCAGTGAGTAATGTCAGAGCAAAGAAAGACTGACAATGAGCATAGTGCTACGGTGTGTATGCAACACTGAGCGTGGCAAGAAGGCGGGACTAGGGAAACCCTAAACCCTAAGCCCCTAAACCCGTGGGAGATCCTCAGACTCATCCTTTGCAAGTTCGCGATACCTGCTGAGATGACGTGGCTGGAATCTTTTTCCCGGGGTTGCCGAATGGTGCCATGCATGCCGTCTTGATTATGGCCGCCCACTTTTCGATTGGCAACACAGTAATGCAGTGGACAACAGTTGGAAATGCAAGCGCACGGCCACAGAGGTCTTGGGTGCAGAGGCGGCTAAACGCTTGCTTAGTGATCTTAGTGGTGGCATCAATGAAGTCCGAGGGCTTGATTCTGACACGCTGCAGATTGACAAAGGAATGAATGGACACTTCTGCTTGAAGGCGTGAGAACCTAATGTTACGGTGGATGGTAACAATCCTGCATGACTCAGCAAGCCAGCTAAGGCTGCGAGAATGAAAGACTCCCCATGCCCCTCAATCTCAATGTTGGCTAGAGGCCAGTGTGGGTCATGCAGGATTTCTATCATTCGCGCACGCCCTGTTTGCTCTGCCAAAGGGACCAATATTAAAATTAGGGGGCTACGGGGAAGCCGGCCTGTCTGTAAAAATCAATGCAGGATTTTTAGTATCAACAGTACGCCATCTGCTCGTGCCTGAACGCGTGAATAAGCAGCTACTGGGACCTGCGCCAATCTGCAAAAGCCGCACAGGTGTTGGGTCGCGAGTCGCCAAAAAGTGGAAGCCTTATCATCTACAGCGATCGCCATGCTAAGGACAGGGTGGAAGGGGCGTGAGGGGGTGGGAAGGTGGGAGGGGGAGGGGTGGGGGGGTGGGAGGGGGGTGTTGTTTTTGTGCACACGTGGAGGGGGAAGGGGGGGGGCAGGGAGGGGAGGAGGGGAGGGAGGGGAGGAGGGGGGGAGGGAGGGGAGGAGGGGGGGAGGGAGGGGAGGAGGGGGGGAGGGAGGGGAGGAGGGGCAGAGGGCTATTTACAAACCATCTGCTATGCCCCCTCCCACCCACCTCACCCACACTCCCCCTCCCACTCTCCTCTACCCCACCACCGCCCCCACCTCCACCTTGCAAGTGTCCTGCTTCGCCCCACCATTCATCCCTGACTTCCTCTGCCTCCCAAGCCACAACTCCAGTGCCACTATGTGACGACACACGTCCCACAGAAGAGGTTGCTTTGACCCCACTAACCGAGACGGTAGTGTCGCAAGGTTCCACTTAAGCATAAAGAACAAACAGGCAGGAAAGAATGGCTCACGGGGAAAACTTGACAAAAGGTGTTTTGAATCTGCCACCGGAAATTTAAAAAACGTCAATGGTGATCGCACGGCTTGCGGCCTGATTCTCGAGTCAAATTGCTCCGAAATGTGAAAAGCAAGTTCAATGCGATCACTTCTCCTCCCCATGCTGTAAGTTGAGAGGCTTGCATGGGACGCTTCCACTCTAGCTTCAGGGGCATCGGCATAACATTGTTCAATGGAGGAGTTCACAGAGAGACAGTGCAGGCAATGCTCAGAAACCACAAGGCCCGCCTTACAGACCCTATCTTCGGTGGCATGGGCATCAGTTAAGAGGCGAATCAACGGAACGCCAAGGGTGTTATCCGGCATCATACTTGAAAGGGCTTTTGTCGCAGCCTCAATGCCCATATGCTGTACACCTTGCCATCTTTCCCCCATAGCCACCAGGTTTGAGGTCTACTTCTTACATGGCTCACGGTGGTGCTTGCGTCCATTTCTGGAAAAATCTGCATCTGTGTGGGGCGGTCGGTATCCCAGTCTACTTTCCTCTCAGTGTCCCGGCTCTGGAGCGGTCTGGGGCGGTTCCGGTGTCCCGGTGGGGCAGTTTCGGCGCGGCGGTGCCGGTGGGGTGGTGGGGTGGTGCAATGGTGGGGTGGTTGGTGGATGTTGGTGGGGTGGTGTTGGGTGGTGGGGTGATGTTTTGGTGGGGCGGTGGTTGGTGAGGTGGTGGCGCTGGTGAGGTGCGGTGGTGGTGGTGGTGGTGGTGGTGGCGGCGGCGGTGGTGGTGGTGGTGGTTGGTGCGTTGGTGGTGTGGTGGAGCGGTTGTGGGGTGGTGGGGTGGTGGCAGGGGGTATTCTGGTCGGTGATTCGGTCGGTGTTCTGGTCTGTGTACTGGTCGGTGTGCTGTTCGTTGTTGTGTGCGGTGTCTTGTGTGTTGTAGTGGTCGGTGTTCCGGTCTGGTTATTGCTTCGGCCGGGTGATTTGCCGGCATTTGTGAATGTCAGTCGCAGCAAATCTAGACGAGCTGAAGTGCAACCCTCCGCAGTTAGAAAAACAACTCGTATACCGCAACACCTGGTTGCATCACAAGGGGAAGGGGAGCAGCATGATCGAGTGGTGTCAGGGGTATGCCAGGGTGTCGCGCGAGCATCGCTCGCGTCATCGCCATGGATCTTTTCAGCGTGCAAACGCACAACATCCGCAGGACTTACATTACCCTTCCACCCGCTTCCGCCCCCCTTCAGACTTGCTTAGACCTCTTAGCGTGTGCGCTTACAAGCCCCTGCACCGTAGAGTGCCAGCAGCCCCCCAAGCAACGTGCCAAAGTCCATCTTCTGACTTGCCGTGACGTGCTTGCAGAATTGGCGCGTCTCCGAGTGATTTACCCTTATTCCCCAATAACCACCAGGTTTGGGGTCTACTTCTTTGACGGTCCACGTGCGTGCCTGCGTCCATTGTTGGAAAATCTGCGATTGTGGGGTCTGGATGGGGCGAGGCGGGGCCGGGCCAGGCGGGGTAGAGTGGGGTGGGGTGGTTCTGGTATGTAATGAAAATTATTGCACCGTTCCAAAGCTCGACCCCCTCTCACCAAGCAACTTTAACTTGTCCAGCTAAGCGACAAGAAGAACCCCTTTTCCCCTAGAGCCCTTGCCCATACTTCTCATTCAAGCTCATGGGCGCGAGTAAATCGTATATCTTCCCATTCCATGACCTCTCATGATACCAGATTTTTTGGCAAGCCTCCAGCATGCCGCGCTGAGCAGGTCAAGGCACTCTGTCACATCAGCAATCGCTCAGCACTCTAGCATACAGCATGTGCCCTCCGCTACATCACTGGAAAAGATCGGCAGACCAAGCAGACATGCTAAAAGAGATTCGAACGTCAGCACATCATACCAAATTGTACTAGTGTGGTACTTCATTCACTTTGGGAAGAAGTGGGATTTCTTGCGCTATGCTCCATTTCAACGCGAAATAGTAGAAAAAGTATGATTTGTTGCCACCATTTCCGGACTTGAATGAGAATCATTGGAAGATGAGGCTTTGTTTCAACCATCAGTTTGGTTTGAGTCCGGAGTCGCCGAAGACTCCCGTGTGTTATTCGGTGCCAATAACTTGGGTGCGACAGCTACTTGACGCAGACGGGTCTAATGTTGACCTCATATTAATAAACCCCCACGCAACTGCAAAATCATAATCCCAGAACGTAGTTACAACCCCCCCCAATTGCAAAATCCAATCTGCCGAAACGCGCTGGAAGCACCGGAAGAGCAATGTGTACTACCGGCTATTACTACTATTGGCTACGACGAATGGAGCTCCAGCTCAATGGACCCGGATACGCTTAATTACGGAGGCTCGCGCCCATCCTGCGGGGGTGGGGGGGGGTTCTTATTATATTCAGTATGAGGTGAACATTTACTCAAGTGTGAGCAGGAAGCATTAGAATTACGTTTTTTTTTCAGCTTGGACTTGAGCATGAAGTATTGGTATAGTATTGGGACAGGTGCTGGTGCCATGCAGAAAATTTCCGCTTCTGGTATGGAGAGGTTGGCTTGATTCCTAGCCACGCCTTAACATGTGTCAGCGATCCTGAATCTGCAAGCGCCGCATCTGCGAGATGAAAGCGAGCACTTACTGTCGGGAAGGAGCCCGCGGGAACCTACCGAGGTTGCTGCCAGCTTGTAGACAGCTTGCAGCGTTTCGACAGCAGCCTGCAACACCTTAAAGATCTCCAAACAGCCACGCTTCTCCAAGTCTGACTCAACAATTTTCAACGATCGTTCAGCTACAGCCAAGCGTGAACAACTGCAAGCAAGAGGCTACCAGTGCTCGGGAGGTTCCAGAGCCCGAAGCAATCACAAAGATTTTGGAAAATCTCAGGAGGTCCTCATGATTGGGGCCATGATACACTCGACTATAGTGCTGTACCCATGACATCCCATGACTTCATGATTGATGTCACATTTGGAGGCACAATACGATGTGAAACGTCCTCTTGCATCGGCAGGACAGTTGCACCTTTGCTCACGCTCAAAAACGCAAAAACTGGAAGATGCCAGCATGACTGTTGATGAAGCGAGCTTTGTGAGTCAAAGTCACACTCGATGGCTGTGGCTGCACCGTCCCTGGTCAGTGTGGCAGTGGTGATTTGGTGACTTGTCAAGGAGTGGAGATACCTGCAAGCTGCTGGCTTCCTTGCGCTGCGCCAACTGGGTCTTCAGTCGCTTTGCTGCGCGATGTCACATAGTAAGCTACTGCGAGACCATTCTCGCAGTGAGACAGCATCATCACAGGCGGCAGTTTCTGAACTGATGATTGGAAATGCCACTCAGCACCGACAGCGTGCAGGACCTTGATTGCGGGCTTTTGGGTCTGGAAGATGATGCACGGAACATGCAAGATAAAAGGACGCTCAGCGCGGGGCACGCAGCAAGTCTGGTGGCGGTGTGCTGCTTACTCTTATGCCGCCCCAAGTTCCGTAGAGCTCCACATGCACCAAATGACACCACGGCCTCGCCAGACCGAAGACGGCCCGTGAGCGCAAGTTTGCGCGCTGGTTCCCAAAGCGTCCTGAGTGAAGCAAATCTTTTGCTCCCAGAACCCAGAGCCAGTACCTCTGAGGAAAGTGCGATCGCCCCAAACTGGAAAGCCCAGAAGATGCAAATGCCTCAGGCTGATGGAACTGAAGTTGGGATGCCTGAAGCTAAGCAGCTAAGCTACTTCTTGATGTGCATGCCTGGCCTGCAGACTTGGGATTTTGTCTCAGCACCTTGCACTGAAGCCCGCAGCAGCGTGCCTTATGTATACCATGCAAGCCAGGTGAGCTTCACCCGAACTGCGCCGTGCTGTCCTTCAAGGTGCCGGGGAGCAGTCGTTTCCCTTCCATAGACTTTCCAGCTGTGTTTCCGCGCTTTGCTTTGGTTTGCCACGAGCAGGTCGCAAGGCAGCTTTGCAGACGGAAACCTTGCAGCCGTGCTGTGGGGAGCAGATGCCCAAAGGATCCCAGAGGCACGCAAGTCAAAGATACTAGGCTTTCGCGCCAGGTTGCCCTTTCTGGTCTTCCAGCGACTAGCACAACGTACTCCAGTCGACATGACGAGGCATCCACGCAAGTTCCGAGCTTGCTGTAAATCGCAGGACCGCTGACTTCAAGCTCTGGAGCATACAGCAGCTGGTCCTTAGCTTGTGGCCAGGGCTCCCGTGCGAAGCTGAGACCAAGCCAGGGCAGCCAGGGCAGCCAGGGGTCGGCATCAACTTTCAGCGCAGTGCCGCGCTCATGTCGATGCCTGCTATCTTCCCAGGCCAGCTTGCCGGCGGGCTTCTCCACAACAACAATCTGGTCATCTTGGAACCTCCCAACATGCTGCTATGTGCCACCTGCTTGTACATGCGCTCTACATACTGTCTTGGTTTCTCTAAGGTCGCCGCAGAACAGCATCAACATCCTTCGACTCGCCCCTCTCACCCGGCTTGATTGCCACAATCTCTGTTGCAAATATCGCCGGATCGCCCTTATACTCATATCCAGGATATCCCCTGCAATACAAATCGTCACCTACACGAAGTTCTTTTATGACCACCTGAAAAGAGGTCCCAAGTCGTTGCTCCTTGCACATGACCTTCACGTTGCCACATTCAGCGAACAGGACGTGACCCATTCTGACACGGCCTGCCACCGTCCCGTGAAAGGGAAGAACCACATCAAGGTGCACATCACGCCCAGGCTTGGGATGAAGTTCCTGGATGGCTCTGAGCAACTCTGCCTCCCCCCAATCGGAAAGCAGTGGCCGTGGTGTCAACGTAGCTGGCAGCACCCCAAGGTTGTGCCAATGCTGCAGGGTTACAATCATCTGAGCATAACCACCAACCTTCAATCTTGGGCACATGAAAATCGTTGCATGACGCGTGCAGAGACCCGTGAAGTCACTGTTTGCAACACAGGCTCCGGTACTCGAATCGATGCAGTCTGCGGGATTGGGAGATCACCCTGCCAGTTGAGGAACATCAGGATGACTGGATCAGTTGGCCAACCTGCTTGGGATCCTGCTCCGGGCCAAGTGCCCTGCTCGCCAAAGGCAACTCGCACCACGGCAGCTGTGCCCAAGGAACAGCTTTTGTTTTCTTGCATGATGTCATGCATTCCTTCATCTAAAGACTTCTCGTCGCGCTGTAGCTTCCTCGCATTGTTGGCAATAGGTTTGAGCGATGAGGAAGACTGTACGAGCCCTGAACTGCGCATAACTGCGCCCTATGAGTGCAGGAATTGTGAGTCATATGAGCATATTTATCTGGACTTCACCAAGAAGCAACTGCAGCGCCTGGATCACCGGACCCTCAGCTGGAACCAAGCGTCCTTTGGATAAGTCCATCAGGCTTCTGTCCACCGTCACGCATCGCATGCATCGCAAGCCCGCTGCACACGGCCAAACCAAGCTTAAGCGAGTATCTCGGTCCTGCATAGGCAAGCATGCTTACACAGCGGAAAGAAACGGCAACGTGATAAACCATGTCGTTGCAGTTTCCGAGATGGGCTGATGACCATCTGCTGTCAGGTGTCGTCGTAGACACTTTTGGAAACTAGGCAAGCAGCAACGATGGCCTGCAAACAGTCAGATAATCACGTCAGTCAGCCCACTCAGTCACTAAATCAAGGGTTTGGTAGTGCGCAAACGGAGGATTCGTAAGAGGAGCCTGGTGCACTTGTGCTTTGACTGAGTCCGCGAGAGGAGGTTCATCCAAGCGCAGAAAAAAGCGGATGGGTTGCCTACGAGGCAAAGCCCTCCTGAAGCATCCTTGATGCAAAGAAATCAGGCTCTGCTCGGTCGCATGAAGCAGCGCGCACGACATCTGAATTTTCTGGGGCTCGTGCTTGCCGATACAGCTCGTGGAGCACAGTCTTTCTGCACCACGGCTGGTCGTACAGCTTGATAAGGAGCAGAAGCATCGCCCAGCCGCACGGAGGAAAGTAGGTGAAGGCATGCCTTTTCAGCGAAAGTACGGTAGGCTAAGATGGCTAAGCGGCTAGTAAGCGGCTAGGCCCTAAGGCCGATGATAGGCGGCTGAGTCATGCCAAGTTTCTGAGGAGTGGAGCGCCACTGGCCCTAGCTGTGCTCCGAAAGCTGAGTTGACTGCTGCACGGATGGCAATCCGCTCTGCCTCAAAGTCCTGACCAGCAGACAAGAAAGGGACAACGTCATCTTCTTTGGGTGCAGTCCTCGTGGACACCAAGGCAAATGATAGGGTTGGAGAGGGGTGCGGTCCAGCTCCAGTCCTCCTCAAATTGTGTTTTTCTGGGCCTGCTTGATGCAGCAACACACCCTTCCCCATGCACCAATAGTCTTTGTCTGCCACATTCTCGGGCTGGATCTGCATGTGCAACACTACACCGACTGCGAAAGAAAGTAGGAGAAACGTGCAGAAAGAATGTGTTCTTGACTTCTTGATTGACTTCTTGGACTTCGCTGCAGCTTCCATGCTTTGATCAAGGCCTGCGGATGGTGATTGGCCTTCTGCAATGACAGCTAACTCTGCAAAGTGTTCCGAGACACTGTTTGCAAAAGTAGAAGGCTGTGATACCTGTGCTTGGCTGCGCAACTCTCTTCAACATGTTGGAAGCATGCAATGAATGAGAGTCGCCGCACGAATTATTGTATCTCGCTGTGCGAAGAAATGCAAAGAAGATCCTCAGCTGTCTCGTCCAGAAAAACAACAGGCTCTGAGCCCTGCGACGACGTCAGATGATGCACCGCCTCGGAAAGCGCTAAGACCTGCAGCGCATCTGAAGCCGACTCGCAAAATAATGCTTTGATGACGCAACTCTGATAGCATGTGGTCCAGGACTATGCGGTCCACCACCCATGGGCCGAATTCGCGCAAAATCTACTATTCCGGTTACATATGAATTCAGACTTGGGTTTGTAACATTTAGGGGACCGATTTCAGGGGAATGGCAACCTTTGATGTAGAACGACGCTAGTCTTTGCATATTTGCTGTGAAGTTTTTGTTCGCCCATGGTTTCATTTGTCTTGCTAAGACTGTCTCGTTTGGGGCTCGGACAGAGGTAAACGCGCAAAAATGCAGTCCAGCCAGAGCAACGACGCTTTGGGAGCTTCCAAAGCATCGAAATCACTTGTGCCAGCACGCATTGTGGTTTTGTGCGAGCATCCGTGCCAGAACCATATAAACATCCACCCCGTCTGTGCGGGGTGTCCAAGGTCCAAGAGCATCTCGACAGTTTTCAGGGATGGAAGCCCACCCTGTGCCCTCCGAGAAGGCTGTGTGGCAAAAGCGGGGCACCCACAATGGCACGGGGAATTAAGTCCGTCACACCAGGAACCAGCTTAACCTTGCGCGGCCGTAGCCGTCGCATGTGAATGTTTTGGCCGCTCGTCGAATCCTGCAAAGCCACGGCCTGAAACAGTCCTCCGCACTCTGGCTGCTGTTTGGGTAGCTTGAATGGTCACACTCCATTGCAGCCCAGACACGTTCCTGAGCCTCGAAAAACACTCCACGGGGCGCTACGACTGACAACAGACGACAAAGAGAACATGTCTTCCGCAGAAACCTCATGAGCGATAGCAGTTTGAGCCCTTGAAAGTTGACCACGCTGTGAAGGTTTGGGCATGGGAGTGTAGTTGGAGATGCATTGCCGGCAATCGCTGGCACATTGGCGGTTTTGGTGCTTTTGAGCGCCCTTGAATATGGACACCATTGTGATTTGGGCATGGGCGCGTGTACAAATGAATGTGCTCGCAAATGAACATTGCAAGGTCTGGGGCTGGATGATCTGGTGAGCGGGCATATTGGGAAGCCGCCCATTACAGTGCTCTGTCCATGGACGCCATCTCACATGAATGCTGACGGCAGCAGAGGCATCAGCCTGCCGTGACCTCCAAGCTGCTGCCTTGAATTCCTCCCATCAAAGCGGACAGCTCTGATCATAGCTCAAGATTGACTGGCGCTCAAAAAAGAATCTGGCAGTGCCATGAGGAGCAAAGTTCGGTGCACTACATGACGTAGCATCGCCCACCCGGTCAGGGTTGTACTTGTATCTGGCTTACGCTTTACATCAGCTAAAACATCCAGTATGCTCCGCGCCAGCTCTTCTGGCCATGTTCCTGTGCTGAATGCCAAAACATGCTCTAGCTTCATAAGGATTTTCGTGTTTTCATGGGTTACGGCACATGCCAAAATCGGCTGCAGGCTTTCGTGAGGTTGAGCTGCTCTTGGCCGCAGTAGGCTCATTAGGCCAAGCTGTGGTGGGGGTGTGAGTTCCAGCCAAAGGGCGGCACTTACGATGCGTGTTATATTTCCTGACAGCGCAATTTTCGCGAGACATGTTCGACTGAGAGCTGCCGAATAGAAAAGCCCGCTTGCCCTGTGGGTACACAATACTCAATAATAGTCTACTTGCTTCACATTCGATGGATGAAACTTTTCATTGGACACAGTGGCCAGGGCATTCCACTCATTTTAGAACCCCTCAATTTTGAAGTGCCAGAACCTAACCTTTTTGACAGCAACCCATATGCGAAAAAAAAACAATCTGACCTCTGAGACAAAGGAACCCGCACGCAAGTGTCGCGAGGGATCAGGGTCCGAGGCATTCTGCCTTGGAGTTGACAAGGGAGGGCGGGGCTATCACAGATCGCTTGGTGAGAATATGCATCTCGCTCGTCAACGCTGAGTCAGGAAAATATACGTCACGGGGGAAATCTGGGGGAATTATACATGACAAAACGCAAATCCCCAAGTAGACACTTCCAGAGCCGGCAAGGGTGCAGAAATGTTGCCTGTGGCAGACGCCAACGTTCCAATATGTTTCCAACGCATATAGTGGTCACCCTACCCTCGAGTGGATATACCCAGTCGCCGCGTTTGGAAGAGCCAGAAAGAATGCCGAAATGTTGCCAGGCGTTTTCAATATTTTTGCACATGCATTGTAGCCACCTGCATCAGCAAATCCCCAAGTAGACAAAAGTGGTCATTGTTTGGAGGCGCAGAAAAAGTGCGCAGAAACGCCGCCTCTGTGTCAGAGGCCAACATGCAGTATGTTTCACACGCATTGTGCCACCTACATTATCAAATCCTCCAGCAGACTCTGTGCTTGGAAAAGCCGGAGAGAGTGTGCAGAAATGTCGCCTATGTGGCAGAGGCCGACATTCACAGTTGACAACACCGTTCACCAGCAAAGCGGAGATGGATGCACACTTTCACTCGCCTATCAAAAGCTCACGGTAGGAAAATGGCTACAAGGGGCCCCTGGAACAAACACGGCCGCGTACACTTCATGAGGCCACGCATTGTACTGGCAGCTGCTCTTTCACAGCACCCTCAAAATTATGTTGGCCTCATTGACACGTTCGGACTTCATCTGGGCTTTGAGCGGCCTTCCGACCTCAAAACTTTCCTCGCATCCAGCAACTGGGTTTCAGCAACAATCCTGTACGTGCAGGAATCAAGAACCTTGTACAACGCCCCAGGGTTTCCGCTCACCTTTGTGAGTCCATCCACTATCATGGATTGGTGCTCTACCCACCTAACCTGTACACCTAACCCATCAGCCCTTTCTCGCGCGATGGCCACTTCAAGCGCAGTGTACTTGTCCTGGGCCACTGCGCCTTCTTTGGTGACGTTGTCGAAGACACTCTTGGCGTCGATGATGCTCAGGGACTGCCTCAAGGTTTGATCCCCATTTCCCTTCTGGAGAACCAGGTCCGCCTGCTTTTTGACAGTGTTGAAGTACTGCTGGAGCTCAAACTGAGGGTCGAGAAGGTGCTGAACAATGGCTTTGGTGAGCCCCCTGTTCAGTGACTGAGTCTCAGCCGCCAGGGTAAAAGGGACCTTCCTCCTCAGCTTTCCGCTCTTCCACCAAAAAAGAGCGCACTTCGCGGTCTTGCCTTCGAGGAGATCTTTGTGATAAGCTATCACACCAACGGCTCCCTGAGAGCTGCCGTCCTGGTAGTTGTTTCAAGACGCGTCCGTTTCGACGCCAAAGCGGAGGTCCTCGTAGGGGATGGCGTGGTACAGCAGGGTGAGGTTCGGCTTCGCCTTGATCTGGGAGATCACGTGGTTGAGGGCAGTAATGTCCTTGATCTTCAGCTTGGTCATCTTGGAGGCGAGGATGCTAGCCGCGGCGCTTCCGTCAGGTCGACCTTCTTTGGCGCACCACGCCAGAGAGCCAATCACGGCCCTAACCTTTTTCACCTCCTCTGGCAGGGCGTCGGCCTCCGGCATTGACTTCCGGCCTCTCTCGAGCTGCACTTCTGAAAGCCTCTCCGTGACAAACTTGGACATGTCCACGCGGATATTGAAGCTCGAGTCCTGCTGGATCCTTCTTCCGTTGAAGGACGTTCCTTCCGCTAGCTCCTGCAGCCTTTTGAACTTGCCGAACTTGAAGCGCTCGCGAAGCTTGTTGAGGCGCTGGTCGTGGATGCCATAGCCGAAGCAAAGCAAGTCGTCGATCTCTATGATGATGATGCCCTCGAGGCGGCCATCAACGTGCAAGAAGTAGATCGTTGGGTCCAACCTGCTCTGCTTGTACTGAATTTCGTCGCGAATGTACGACGTGAGAGTGCGGCGTCAATGCAGAGGCGCATCTATCAACTCATAAACTCCACTCATGATTTGTACAAGCTGACCTTCTTCAAGCCCTGGCAATCCTTCAGGAGGTGGCATCACAAAGAGCTCTCCTCTCTCCCTGCGAAGCGGGTCCGATTGCATAAACGCTGCTTTAAGATCTCCGCAGGTGCCCTGCATCATGAGCGCAGCCGCCAATGGAGAATGACCTGAATATTTTGAGTGGACACAGTAGGAGAATACGAGTCCAAGTGCACTGCGTCCGGATCAAGATCTCCACGCACGCACCAGCGTGAGCGCTTGGTAGGCGCCTCTCCAGGCTGCTCGCCTGGTTTAAGCCGGCGAACTACCCGACTTTTGAGGATACGATCCTCCTTTCCTTCTGCCACCAGCCTGGCTCTGACCTTCGTTGACTCGGAAGGCGTCAAGACCTTCACCGCGGTACTGGCCGCGATTTTGGCCCAGTCCTCGCCGTCGGCTTGGCGCCACTCTCCCATTCGTGGGGAAGTATGTCTCTGGCCGAGACCTCGTCCGAGCCGAGCTTCTTTCCAAGAAAGATTTCCTGGCTGACTGCAAGGAAAATGTAGTGCTCGCCCTTGGCATGCCTTTCCACTTGCCTCTCTGCTTGATGGTGGGCTTTAAGCTTCGCCAGTCGTCCTCCACCACGTCGTGGTCGCCGTCCTTGAAGAACAGAACCGTTTTCCTTTGCGAAGCCATGTACTTGAGCTCAACAGGGATCTTTGGAATTTCCCATGGAGAAAAGGTATGGAGCCTCCATTTGACATGATGCCTGCGAAGAACTCCTTTGCTGCTGATGACTTCGCAATGGTCTCGACGCCGCAAGGTCTCACGATCCTGAACTTCAGGAGGAACGCACTTCTCCTCCTGCTCGCCGACGAAGAGCTCATTCTCGGTCAGGCACTGGTTGACGCCATTGTCGTCCAAGGGCGCACGCCTGTAGTGGCTGACCGAGTTGTCCTCAACGCGTGGCCGTTGAGGTCCAAAGGCTGAGCTCGTTCTCCTCGTAGGTGTTAAGGGACCCTGTCCAAGTTTGCGTTGGCACTTGCCGCGCTGACACCTGCTCGAATTCGCTGTTCACGAACTTCACCTTCACCTGGAAGACCAGTTGACTGCTTAAAAGTCGGTCGTGTGACCAAATGAATGTCCTTTATTTTAACGGACGTTTCA